CCGGAACGTCCCCTCTCGAGTAACCGAGCTAAACCAGCCTCTTGGTTTACTGAGGAGCTGGCAGCGATGAAGGGAAAGAAGAGGAGGCTAGAGTGCGTGTAGCGCCAGAATCCCACCAATCCAGCCCAAACACACCTGAATGCCTTTTTAAGGTCCTACGGTGTGGCAATAGCGGCAGCTCAAAAAACATCTATTACAGCCAATATTGCATCCGCGAAAAATCGTCCGGCTGAGCTTTTCCGAGTTGTCAGGGGCCTGTTAAATCCGCCAAAATGCGAGGCCTCGGATAACTCGGTGGCCCGCTGTGAAGCATTTGCTCGATTCTTCACGGATAAAATTGAGCGGATTCGGTCAGGCTTTGACGTCATGTTAACGGCAGTCTCCGGGGATGTAACGAGAACATCTGCTTGTCCAGTTTTGTTGGATTCGTTTCAATTGGTTCAGCTTGAGGATGTGGACAGGATCCTTGGAGAGGTGCGACCCACCACATGCATCCTAGACCCCTGCCCATCCTGGCTGATAAAAGAAGCCACAGGGGGTTTGGCAGAGTGGGTGAAGGTAATGGTTAATGCCTCCTTACAGGAAGGAAAATTTCCAGCGAGCTTAAAACAAGCTGTTATAAAACCGCTGTTGAAGAAACCATCACTGGATCCCACTCAATTCGACAACTATCAGCCAGTTTCCAATCTCCCCTATTTGGGCAAAGTCATGGAACGTGTGGTGGCAGCACAACTCCAAGGATTTCTGGTAGACACTGATTATCTAGATCCGGCACAGTCCGGCTTTAGGCCGGGACATGGAACTGAGACAGCCTTGGTCGCCTTGGTAGATGATCTGCGCAGGGAGCTGGACAGGGGGAGTGTGTCCCTGTTAGTTCTGCTGGACCTCTCAGCGGCCTTCGATACCGTCGATCATGGTATCCTTCTGGGGCGCCTCATGGATATGGGGCTCGGAGGCACTGCGCTGCGGTGGCTCCGATCCTTCCTTGAGGGACGGACCCAGAAGGTGTTATTGGGTGACACCTGTTCGGCCCCGCACCCGTTGTTGTGTGGAGTCCCACAGGGTTCAATTCTGTCCCCAATGTTATTTAACATCTACATGAAGCCGCTG